GCTACTGGCAATGGCAAAGACAATGACCATGGCAACGGTAGTGGTAATGCCAATGGCAACGGCAATGGCAATGGTAATGGCCATGGCAATGGCAATGACAATGGTAAGTGTAATGGTAATGGTAATGTTAATAGGAATGGGAACGGGAATGGGAATGTGAATGGGAAAGGGAACGGGCACGGGAATGGAAATGGTAGTGGTAGTGGTAACGGAAATGGGAATGATAAGGGTAAGGGTAAAGGTAAAGGTAAAAGGTAATGGTAATGGTAATGGACATGCGAATGGTAATGGTAATGGTGAAGGGAGTGGAAATGGCAATGCAAATGATACTGGCAATGGTAATGGTAGTGGCGAATGGCAATGGCAATGGCATTGCGAATGGTAATGGTAATGGCAGAAGTAATGGTACTGGTAATGATAACGGTAATGATAGTGGTAACGGGGTAGCGATTGGCAATGACAATGACAATGGCAACGGTAATGGTAATGGCAATGACAATGGCAATGGCAATGGCAATGGTAATGGCCATGGCAATGGTAATGGTAACGTGAATGGGAATGGGAACGGGAATGTGAATGGGAATGGGAATGGGAATGGGAACGTGAATGTGAATGGCAGTGGTAGTGGCAACGGAAATGGGAGTGGTAAGGGTAAGGGTAAAGGTAAAGGTAGAGGTAAAGGTAATGGTGATGATAATGGTCATGGCAATGGCAGTTGTAATGGTAATGGTAATGGTATTGGGAATGGGAATGCGAATCGGAACGGTAATAGTACTGGCAATGGTAATGGTAGTGGCGAATGACAATGGCAATTTCAATGGTAATGGTAATGGTAGTGGCGAATGGCAATGGTAATGGCAGTGGCGAGTGGCAATGGCAATGGCAATGGTAATGGTAATGGCAATGACAGTGGTAATGGTAATGGTACTGGGAATGGCAATGGTGATGGTAACGGTAGTGGTAATGGTTTTGGCAATGGTAACGGGGTAGCGACTGGCAACGGCAATGGTAACGGCGATGGCAATGGTAATGGTACTGGTAATGGCAATATATGGCAATGGCAATGGGAATGGCAACGGCAATGGCAATGGCAATAGCAATGGCCATGGCAATGGTAATGGTAATGGTCATGGTCATGGTAATGGTAATGGTAATGGGAATGGGGATGGGGATGGGGATGGGAATGGGAATCGTAGTGGTAATTGGAACGGAAACGGGAATGGAAATGGTAGTGGTAGTCGTAATGATAATGGCAATGGTGATGGTAATGGTAATGGAAATGGTACTCGCAACGGTAACGGTAATGGCAATGGTGATGGCAGCGGTAATGGTAATGGTAATGGTAATGGTAATGGTAATGGTCATGGTCATGGTCATGGTAATGGTAATGGTAATGGTAATGGCGATGGCGATGGCGATGGCGATGGCGATGGCGATGGCAATGGTGTTGGTAATGCGAATGGTAATGGCAATGGTAATGGTAGTGGCTAATGGTAATGGGATGGGTAATGGTAATGGTAATGGTGACGGTAACGGCAATGGTAATGGTAACGGGGTGGCGATTGGCAATGGCAACACAATGGCAATGGCAACGGCACTGGTAATGGCAATGGCAATGGCAATGGGAATGGCAATGGCAATGGTAAAAGTAAAGGTAAAGATAAAATTAGAGGTAGTGGTAATGTGAATGGGAATGGGAATGGGGATGGGAATGGTCATGGTAATGGTATTGGGAATGGGAATGGGAATGGGAATGTGAGTGGGGGAGATTGAGAGAGAGAGAGAGAGAGAAAGCGAGAGAGGAAATATCATAATAATGATGAGGAACACCGTGAAAGATAGTAAACAATCGTCTGAAACCCACAGGGACTCCACAATCCCCCGGCCTCTCCTCCTCCTCCTCCTCTTCCTCCTCCTCGTCCTCCTCCTCGGACTCTCTACCCCTCCCATCACCCTCCTCTTACCCCTCTTGTCCTCCTCGTCCTCCCCTCACACTCCTCCTCCTCCTCCTCTCCTCCTCCCTACTCACTCTCTCCTCCGCCTCCTCCTCATCCCAGCCTCCTCCTCTCCTCCCCCGCCTTCTTCCGCCTCCTACTCCTCCTACCTCCTCTTCCTCCTCACCCTCATCCTCCTCCCCCTCCTCCTTCTCCTCCTCCTCTTCCTCCTCCTCCTCCTCCTCCTTCTCCTCCTCCTCCTTCCCCTCCTCCTCCTTCCCCTCCTCCTCCTCCTCCGCCAGGCGGCCAGTGCCGCAGCGCCGAAGCAAATATCTTGTCTCCTTAGGGTCAAGACTAAAAGTTCGGTGGTTGCGACGCACGCTGCGCGAGGCGGTTCAAGCATGTTGGCCCATTAGCTGCCTCGCGCGGCGTGCGTCGCAGCCACCGTACGTTTAACCTTGATCCTGAGAAAAACAATGCGTTTGAGTGCCGCAGCCACGCGCAGAGGGTTTGTCCGTCGGGAAGGGGTGTTGCATAGATCGAAGAAGAAAGACACATGAACATAATCTTTTGGCGCTCCGCGCGGATTTCTTGGATCCGCACCTGGGCCCCCCTGGCGGCGCCTCCGGCGCCGCCCCTGGCGCGCTCCGCGCGCCCGGGAGGGGGGTCCAGGCGCGAATCCAAGAAATCCGCGCGTAGCGCCAAACGTGTATGTTTACGTGGCTCTTTCTTCTTCTACTAAAGTGGGGCGGTGCCAATCGTGGAAATGGTGCGGTGCCAGATCCAGCATTGGCAACACACCCCTTTACACCACACCCCTCTCCTACCCCCAGAGAGGGGTGTACAGTCGGGCGGAGGCACACGAGACCGAGGTCGGTTCGGGGAGGGTGCCCTACAGTCTAGGCCTCCTATAGATGGGGTCGGAGGGTCGCATCGGCGATGCGGCTCGATGCGGAGCCCGACTTTTTCTCAACGCCCACGTCGCCGGTGCATCGCCGACGTCGCCGATGCATCGCCGATGTATCGCCGATGCATCGCCGATGCATCGCCGATGCATCGGCGATGCGGCGCGATCCTTCGACCCCATCCTTTTGGACCCCATCTTGGAGGCCCCAACCTAGTGTTCTTCGTTTCTGCTTGGGTGTCCTTGTGCACCCTGGGGGAGGGGAGGAGGAGGAGGAGGAGGAGGAGGAGGAGGAGGAGGAGGAGGAGGAGGAGGAGGATGCCCTTGGATGTTCTGTGCGTCTTGGCCAGCGGAGGGCCCCGTGTTTATTGATGGATGTCCTTCTGGCCCAGGTCCGACTGCAGCCAGGGCGGCCAGTGCCGTAGCCACGCGCAGAGGGGAGTCGCGGGCGATGTTTCTCCCCCAATCCCCGAGTTTCGCCCGAAAAAGTCTGGCCGCTCAGAAGAATGGGAAAACCCTGGGATACACCCCAAGGGGGCTATTCGCACGCACCCCTATCGAGAATGGACACCCCCCCATCGTATATCCCAGGGTTAGGCCCCAAATTTCTGGTCCATTCGGAAACCCCACGAAGCCTGGGATAGGGGTCGACATATCCCCTGTTAGGGAGTAGGGGAAGGGGGGAAGGCTTCGTAGAGAAGGCAACAAACAATGACACGAATACAAAAGCTCGGATGTCCGCGCGGATGCCTCGGATCCGCGCGGGAGCCCCCCCTGGCGGCGCCTCCGGCGGCCGACCCCGACGCGCTCTCCGTGCGCCAGGGAGAGGGGAGCGAGCGCAGACCTCCGAGCAGACCTCTGCGTTTTTTTACGTTTGCGTCCTTGCGTGGTCCCCTTATGGAAGCACCCCTGAGATCCTCGGGCTGGGCGAAAGGGGGGGATTGGGAAAGGGGGGGGTACGAAATTTGCTGCATGCAGCTGGTTTCGGCCTCACCCAGGGGCCCATTCCTCGATACATGGGCGCCTCCCGGCGCCGGGAGGCGCCGGGAAAATCAGCTACGTGAGCTGATTCTCAAACCCCCCCTTTGCTATCCCCCCCTTTTGCCCGACCCGAGAAGCACCCCTGAGATCCTGGCGTTGCAACTTGCTCACGCCGGGCATTTTCGATCGGGGTCAGGCCCCGTGCCCCTCGCAGATCGATGCGGCTCGAAAGATGGCGCAGGAAGGTGGAGTCCGACGCTCCCGGTTTGAGTTTTGGCGGTGTTCCAGTTTTTGTTTGCAACGTCTGGATCCGAGGAACCCCTGCTTTTTAGAAGGTGCGGGCCTTCTTTGTAGACGCAGGGCCGGCGCCTTCCAAGAAGAGCAGCCTCAGTCTGCGGCTCTCTGGGGCCTTCCCGCGCCTCCCCCTGACCCCGTGTGTTTCCGCTGCCTAAACCGGGGCGCTGAACTGAGGACCGGTTTGGGTTCGGGCCCAGACCCCCTCGGGACATGAGAACTTCAAGGCGGGAGGGTTTGCCGCGCGAATGATCCTGAGCGTGGCTGTAAAATATCAGCCGGCGTCGACGCCAAATAGATTCGACGACTCAAATCAAGGAGTCAGAGGAATCAAACAGGCTTGGAATACGCAACTCAGGGATGTGGACAAGTTCTGGCGGCGTTCCTCTAGCCCTCCTCGCGCACCCAGGCTTCTGTTGCCGACACGGGGCTTCGTTCCTTATCGATCGTTTCTTGTGTCAGCAGCCCAACTGTATCATCTGCGACTTGGGCTTCGGGGGAAGGGGCGCCGAAAGGCCGAGGCACAGCGGATGCCGGTAAAGAAAGATCCAGCATCTGCAGGGGCCAGATTTCTACCCAGATCCACTGCGCCTCGGGTTCCAGGGGAAGGGAGCCCAGACAGGGCCGCCTAGCATCCGATTCGATGCGATTCGATTCGCCAGCTGGGGCCGCGATTCCAATTCGATGCGATCTATCTGGCTCTATTCACCGGCATCCGCCAGGGCCAGCCGGAAGCGGGACGCGGCGATTCGATGCCGATCCGATTCGGGACGACTCGCTGGCGATTCGCTCCGCTCTCGATCCGACCCGATCTCGCGATCCGATCCAGCGCAGACCTGCCAGCACTCCAGGACGCAGTGGAAATGGGTACAAGTCTTGCCGGCAAGGACGGGGACGCCAGGGCCACGCGATCTCGCAGGAGCCAGCGCCTCTACCTCTCGCAGGTGGCATCCAGGATCGTGGCCCCCCGGGGCGCCGACGCGGGTGCGCTGTGCTCCGGCTCGCCGTTCCGGAGCCCTGGCAGGACTTCGAAGGAGAACAGCACACCACAGGGACGAGTGGTTCTAGACGCTTCATGTAACCCCGCCAGTCTGCCCAGTTTTCGACTTGCTTCGCGAGCCTGCGTACCAATTAAGTACCAAATTACAGGGCGCCCGCCAACCCATCCAGAAACGATGCCCAGGCGAGGCGCCCATGGGGGCCTCTTGGAGCGTCTTGGGTGCCTCGGGGATCCTCTTAAGGCTTCTTGGGGGTCTCTGGGGAGCCTCTTTGAGGCCTCTTGGGCGGCTCTTGGGGCCGTGGGCGCCTCTTAGGCCCTCTTGGGGCGCTCTTGGGAGCTTGAGGGGCGCTCTTGGGGCCATTTTGGAGGACATCGAAGCGGAACGACACATCACAGGGACGAGTAATTCTCCAATAGCGCCCTTGCACGTCGGCCCATCCTACGCAGCCCTTCGTCTTTCAACTTGGGCGTCCAATGGCCTCGCATCCTTCCGCGCATCATTGTGATCCAGTCGCACCGTAGGCAGAAACCTTGGGAGGCCCGCGCGGATTTCTCGGATCGGCGCTGGACCACGTCCCTGACGCGCGAAGCGCACCAGAGGCGCCGCCAGGGGAGGGTCAGCACCGATTCGAGAATCCGCGCGGACCTCCGCATGCGGAGGTTTACCCATTTGGCAAGTTTCTGGAAGACGCATGCGGCGAGTCACCGCCGCCCCATGCCCTTTCGGAAGCGCCTTTGTGGCCGAATGTTGAGGCCAGAGCCCTGCCAAGCTATCAGAGCATGTGTTCCCCGAATTGGTTTGGAAAGCCTTCGGGGAACCCGTGGGGGAGGCCTCTTGGGCGTCTCGGTGCGATGTTTGGGTGCCTCGGGGCACTCCCAGGTCCCAAAACAAGTCAGGCGTTCAGCCGCGGGAAGCCCCCGACAAGCCGCGACCAGCCCCGAGAGATTTGGGGCCATTTGGGCTCCGGGCGCCTTTAACGGCTCCCCAGGAGTAGGGACGAGGGTTCCAGGGATTCGGCAAGGGACTTGAGGGGACGTGCCCAGCGGCACGGTGGCGGATGTTCATCTTGTGGATCGGAGGTTGCTAGACTTCCTGCCCTGACACGTCGATTAGCGAATTGGCCGTTCTCGGTTCGCGAGAGGGCGTCGCGGCCGTCATTTTTGCGGGTCCAGGTCCGTCGGTTTCGGTCCTAGGAAGTTGTTATTAAAGGGATGTCTATTAGTTCGTCCACCGCCGACTTGAGCGACGCCAGAACAAAGGGAGTCGTCTGCGCCGACACTGGCGCGCAAGCTGCCCGCGTAAGCTGCCCCAGCGGAGGACTTGAGGGGACGTGCCCAGCGGCACGGCGGCGGCTGCTCATCCCTGTCGGCGACGCAAAAACAAAGGCAGTCGTCTGCGCCGACACTGCCGCGTAAACTGCGCGCGTGGGGTCGCCCTCAGTAAGGGCCCTCGTCTCCAGAGTGGCGCGCCGCGCGGGCGGCCCGCGGAAGCTGCGGCGCAAGGTCGCTGCGGAGGGAGAGAGGGAGAGAGGGAGGGAGGGAGGGAGAGAGGGAGGGCGGGAGGGAGGAGGAGAAGGAGGAGAGGCCACGGAGGCGGATGCGGAGGCGGATGCGGAGGCGGAGGAGGAGGATGAGGAGGAGGAGGAGGAGGAGAAGGAGGAGGGGAGGAGGGGAGGAGGAGGAGAAGGAGTTGGAGGAGGAGGAGGAGGAGGAGGAGGAGGAAGGGAGGAGGAGGGAGGGACGGAGGGAGGGAGGGAGGAGGAGGGCGGAGGAGGGAGGAGGAGGGAGGAGGAGGGAGGAGGAGGAGGAGGAGGTGGAGGAGGAGGAGGAGGAGGATTGAGACCCGTTCTCGATCCTCGCTCGTGTGCTTGTTGCTCTGAGGACGGGCTCGGTGGACGCCGACGGCGGCGCGTCGCCGGCAGCGCTGGCGCAGCCAGGGCGGCTCCCCGCGGAGGAACGGAAATGTGCCGACCGCCGCCGCCCGGCCCGCCACGGGTGGCCGTCGCCTCCCAGACGGCCCGCGGCAGGTCAGATCGGCGTCGCCCCAGCGTACTTGTACTATATCTTAGCTGCATCGATACGCCCGTTGTGAAGCGCAACACGTACCGTGCTGAAAACGTCCGTGTCAACACGCTGCGTGCCGGCTCCCCGTATTGGCCCTCGTTTCGGCGAGCGGACCGTTTCAGACCTACGTCTTCAGTCTGCGTGCTGAGCTCCATATCAATACGCTACGTGCTGCGTGTTTCGTGCTGGGGCAGCGAAGTACTATATGTGCGTCGCCCTCCCGGGGGCGATGCGCGCACCGAGAAATCTTACAGTGTATGCGTCGTGGCGGGCGCTTTCTGGCCACACCGGTCGGGAAACTATATGCTACAAGATGGGTATGCTATATGTTTGGGTCGGACGCTTGCCTCCAAGGAGAACGCATAATACTAGTATGTCTCTGTGCGTCCCATCAGGGGCGAGCGACGAGGGTCGAAGAAGAGAAACGCCATAAACATAAACTTGTTGTGCTCCGCGCGGATTCTTCGGATCCGCGCTTGGGCCCCCCCCCAGCGGTGCCTCCGGCGCCGCCCCTGGCGCGCTCCGCGCGCCAGGGAGGAGGGTCCAGCACGGATTCAAGAAATCCGCGCGGAGCGCCAAAAGTTTATGTTTATGGCGCTGTTCTTCGTCGAGAGGGAGAGCGAGCTTTGCGCACGAGCCCCACCTCTGGTGAGTGTCCATCTCTGGTGAGCGCCTCTCGATGATCCGCAGGACGTGTGTTAGCGCAATGTGTGCTTACTCCGTTCAGCCCCACCAGTAGTTCATTACATCACCTGGATCGTCTTGAACGGTCTCGATGGACAAACACACGTTGGCGCTAACACTCGTTCTGAGGATCATCGGGCCTCCCTCCCGCCCGCCTTCAAGCCCTTCCCCCGTGCATCTCTGCCCTCCCTCCCCTCCAAGCTCTGCCTCAGCCTTCCTCGCCTCCCGGAGGGCACAACAAGCGGCAGCGTTTCCTGCTCCCGTCGGGCAGCACTCGCCGTCGGTGTCGCCGCGGGCGGTGTCCATTTGAGGCAGAAGGGCGCCTGCCCAACGGCGGCCGCTGATGGATTCAGACAGCATCTGCTGTTGGGCATCGTTCCCATGTTTTTTTCTATCCATTTCGGACGCCCAAATCTGGGGAGTGGCGGTATCAGTACCGTTTCGCCCCCCAGGTTGAAGTCGGGCACGTCCCTCTACAGGAGGAATGCTCAAACATAGTCAAACAAACAGCCTTGGGACGATGTTCAACTCTCTGGGGCTATTCCTGAACATGGTTTGACTGTGTTCTACGCCTCGTCCAGAAATCCGCCTGTGGGAGGACATGCCCGACCTAACCCCAGGTTCGACCTGTCCGAGCGAGACCCCCTCCAGCGCTCCACCAGCTCCCTGCGGACGAGCGGGCGGCGCAGCCCGCCGGGGCGGGCGGCGCAGCAGCTCCCCCGCGCCGCGTCGAGCCTGGGCTCGCCGAAGGTGGACGGCGGTGCGCAGGGCGCCGCGGCCGCGGTGTGGGCCGCGCTGGCGGCCGCCGAGAAGGATCGGCCACGCGCAGAGGGCTCCTCCTCCTCCTCCTCCTCCTCCTCCTCCTCCTCCTCCTCTGAGATGAATGTCGGCTTTGTTAAGGCTTATGAGCTTTATAACGAGTTGCTAAGGTTGTTACAACGTTCATACAACCCTCTCACAAAGCAGCAACACTCGCGAGGGGGGAGGGCTTCCTAGAAGCACCCCTGCTTCTGAGAAGGCGCGGGCCGTATCTATAGGCGTAGGGCCGGCGCCTTTCAGAAGCGGCCTCCTTCCAAGAAGCCCTCCCCCCTCCCTCCACCCCCTGGCGCGCGCCGCCAAGAGGAGGTGTTCAGCCCCGAGGTGATGAAGGAGAAGTTCAACGCCGTCGACCAGATGATCGATGAGATCACTCGGGGGCTGAAGCTCGAGGGCGTCAGCAGGAAGGCGGACCCTGACGAGGAGCGCGCCCAGAGGCAGAAGGAGGAGCGGCAGAGGCAGAAGCTGGAGCTGGCGGAGCGCGCGGAGGGCCGCAACCCGCAGCGAAACGTCACCCAGAAGATAGAGCACCGGCGAGACCACAAGGTGAAGCTGCACGGCATCCCCCTGACGAGCGTCAGCGTCGTGGGGCCCGCCGGCGCGAAGCAGGTGGCCGTGGTGGACGTGGGCACGCTGCGCAGCAAGGCCCCGGCCCGCCCGAGCGGGGCCGGAGCAGACGGCATCGGAGGGCCGACACCGCACCGCCGCTGCATCGGCGGCGGGCGCGCGGCCCCGGAGCCCGATGCGATCTCCAGCCGTGCGCCGCCGCCGCTGCATCGCCGGGGTGCCGCGCGGTCCTCCCGGCCCGCCTGCTCCAGGGCCCGCCCAGGCGGCCCGCAGGTCACCGAGTAGCAAAAGGAGAGCGCACCCGAATTGTAGCACAGTGAGGGCGTGGCCTAACTTGGGAGGTCCCCGTCCTTGCATCGCGGCGACGCCGTGGCCTCCTTCGTCGCTGAGGCCATGGCTCTCGACCAGGGCGCAGGGATCTCACAGTTGTGCGCAGCACCATACGCCAGGATGGCACCAACTGGCATGCTCTTCGTCCCTCGGTTGTCACATCCGGCTGGCCGCGCACGGCCTTCGGCTGAGCCGAAAGACAAGGGATAATCATGTGGGGTGGGCTGTTTTGATACACCTCCCTTGGCAACCAAAACCCGATCCCCAGTTTCCACACGGTGTGTTGGGCCTCTCTCAACTCAGATCCGTTCCCGTCTGAGCGAGGAGGGTATCGGAAACCAATGCTATTTACATGGTTTCGCGCCCCTCCCACCATTGCGAATCCCCCCGACGTGACGATTTCTCCACAGCCCTCGACCGCCAGAGGGGCCTCGGCCCATCTTCCGGGACCGGCTTCTCGTCCCGAGTCGCCGTTTGACCGTCCCGCGAGGCCGGGAGCGGGCCCCCAGAGGCCGAACACGGCGGACAGCCTTGTGGCGTGGCTTTCCCAGGACCCGAGGGGGTCCCTCCTCCTCCTCCTCCTCCTCCTCCTCCTCCTCCTCCTCCTCCTCCTCCTCCTCCCCCTCCTCTTCCTCCTCCTCCACCTCGTCGTCGTCGTCCCCATCGAGGCACACTTCCCGCCATGGTGTTTGCAGAACCCGAGGGGGTGCTGGGCCAGCAGAGGCGCGGGAGGTGCCACAACAGTGCCCCTGGCCCAGGGTGCTCCCAGCTTGTCGCTCAATTCTGGAGCCCCTGATGCCTAAAAAAAACGTGTTGTATATATATATATATATATATATATATATATATACATATGTGTGTGTCTCTCTCTCTCTCTCTCTCTCTCTCTTTCTATATATATATATATATAAACATACTCTTGAGTCCCTGATGCCCCCTGGGCCTCGTGAGGAGTGCTCCGGAGGCCGTGGGGGGCCTCCTCGGAGATCCCCGGGGGCACCTTGGGCCGGGGGCCACTTCGGGCAGCCCCCGAGGCGTGGAGGAGGAGCTGTTTCAGGAGGCCGAGCATGCGTTTGAGCGGGGTGCTTCTGCCACAAGCTCGGGAGACTCTTCATGGGGGGGGGATCCCATGGGGGGATAGGATCCCAGGGGGGGGATCCCATAGGATCCCCTGGGGATCCCATGGGGGGGCAAGTCTCCCGACAAGCGGGCGGGGGAAGTCGAGGCACCAGTCTGGCAGCTTGCCTTCCTCGACCCGTGCTTTTCCTTGCCTTTCCTGTCCGGGAGACGGGGGGGGGGGGGGCTCCTCCAAGGGAGCAGCGTGGAGAGCGCGTGTGGTAAACGGGGGGGGGGGGGGGGGCGATGCTGTGCTTGAAAGGGGGGCCCGTTGGGCCAGGGTTACGTCGGGCCTGTCCCTCTACAGGGGGCATGGTCAAACAGAAGCAGAAAATAGTACGGGGACTATTTTTTCTGTATGTTTGGGCATCTTTTGAGCATTTTTTTCTATTTTTCATTTTTCGCCCAGACTCCCCCCGTAGGGGGACATGCCCGACCTAAGGCCAGGGACACTTGTGAAGGACAAGGGGCTCGCAAGTCAAGGCACGTCTGCAAAGTCTGGCCGCCGAGCCTACGCAGCCTACGAACCGCCAGCCACGCCCGATGCAAGCAGAGACCCTGGACTCGGGCCGCGAGGCAGATGCACGTGCCACGGGATCGGTGCCAGAACGGCCTCACGAGGAGGAGGGAGGAGGAGGAAGGGAAGGAGGACGGGTCGGAGGTTGATAGACCTCCCACCCTGACGCGGCGATTAGCGGATTGGCCGTCTTCGGTTCGCGAGAGGCCGTTGCGGCCGTCATTTTTGCGGGTCCAGGTCCAACAGTTTCGGTCCTAGGCCGTTTTCACGAATGGGTGGTTCACTAAAGGGAGGTTTGTCCACCGCCGAACCAGGAGCAGAGGAGAGACAGAGGCAGCCCCCGAGAGTTAGGCTGCTCCCATCGCGCGTACGGCCAGCATCCCAGAAATGATTTCGAGCACCCGGACAAGTGTCGAAGGAGTGTCGAAACAGTGTCGGACGAACGTCTCCCGGGGCCTGGCACGTGCAAAAGCCCTCGCGTCTCGGCCCATCTTCCGGCGCTCGACGCCCTTTCCTGGCGATCGAGGCCGGAGGCGGCACCTGTTCCGAGCTCGGCGGCGGGAGCGTTTCCGCCGTCCCCCGGGGCGCCGGGGTCAGGGGCAAAATCGCCCGCAGGCGGGCCTGGGCTTCGCCAGCCCGTCGAGTGTGGATCCCTTGGGGGCCACTCGCCGGACTTCCCACTGCTCGTCGACTCGGTAAAAACAATTGGTTGGAGCACCACAAGCCGAGAGGGAGGGAGGGAAGGAGGGAGGGAGGGAGGGAGGGGGGGAGGACAAGCTAGGTGCGCTCGCGTCATATCTGACGTCCTACCCCTCCCTCCCATCCCTTACCATGGCGCAGATCCCCTCTCTACTCGCACAGTCGGATGTCGAGCAGGGCAATGATCCCGAAAGGGTACGTGATGCATTGTAGAGCACGGCCTGGCATGGCGTAGAAGAGCACCGCAAAGCGCAGTATCAACCTAGCATTGCATTGCATGCCGTGGCATGGCGCGGGAAATGACGCCAGCCCTGCAGCGGGAGCACGAGCCGAAACGAGCGGAAGCGCGGAAATGAGGCCAGCGCTGCAGCGGGAGCACGATTCGGAACGAGCGGAAGCACGCCGGAATCGGCCCGGGAGGCTTCCTGGGCGCCAGAAGCAGGAATTCAGCATTTTCAAAAATGTATATTGGAATGGCCTTTTTTCGGCGCCGCCTCGGAACTCGATTAACAGGCGCCGGCCGGAACCGGCTCCGCACCCGGCCCGGGCGCTGGCCCGGGCGCGGGCTCGGGTGTCCGGCCCGGGCGCCGGCTCGGGCGCCGGCCCGGGCGTCGGAATCGGCCCGGGAGTCCCGGGAGGCCTCCTCTATGGGCGCCGGAAGCTGAAATTCCGCAGTTTCAAAAAAAATGTGTATTGCGGAATGGCCTTTTTTCGGCGCCGCCTCGGAACTCGATGTTCCGGCGGCGGGTTCCGGACGTCCGGCCCGAGCGCCGGCTTGGGCGCCGGCTCGGGCGTGCCGGGCGCCGGCGGAAGTGAGGCCGGCGCTGCAGCGGGAACACGACTCGGAACGAGCGGGGCCCGAAAATGAGGCGGGCGCCCCAGCGAAAGCAGCATTTTGGGAACAAATGCAGGCGAAAAGCCAACTCCGGGGAAACCTTTGTGTAAAAAAACAGTGCGCGGAGGGGGGGGGGGCGGCTAGTCCCATTCCGTCATCAGGGGAAGAGGGAGAGTAGTATTCATATGGAGTGACTGTGGAGGAGGAGGAGGAGGAGAGGAGGAGGAGGAGGAGGGAGGAGGAGGAGGAGAAGGAGGAGGTCGACTCGTCGACCCGAGAGGTGAAGCAGCCCTCTGGGGCGAGCGTCCGCACGCTGCTGGAGCTGCAGCGCCTGCGGGAGCGCGGCGCCCGGCGCAGTAGCGGCGCCCGCGGCAGCTGGAGCCCGGCCGGCGCCGCGGCCGCCGCGGCGCCGCCGGCCGAAGCGGCACCCGCCGCGGCGGCGGGCGCCGAGGTGGGTTCGGCACGAAAGAAACCATCACATTCAAGCAGTGGCGATGCGTCCCGGCTCGCCCATGGCCCCACCAAACAATGTTCTAAGAACCTTTCTGTGGTTTCCACGAGATGTTCTTAGAGCATTTCTGGCGGATATTGTCTTGTTTTAACACATGGGGTTTATGTTCTAAAAACATTGTTGTTGGCCTTAGAACATTTTGGGGTTCTAAGAACATTTCGTGGTAGGACTACAGGAATGTCGGGACGGTCGGTCCCTGCTCAAAGGTGGGTTCGGCACGAACGAAACCCCGTCGTAAAAAATTACGCTACCGAGGAACCCCACATACTTAATTTAAATCTTATGTCAACGCCTGCTACGCTGTCACGCTCTCCGACCCTGGCACGCATAGACGCCGCAGTGAGAGACCACCCCCTGCGCACCCCCCTCTGGTGTCGAGAAAGTGCCACGCCTGCCACGCTCTCCGACCCTGGCACGCATAGACGCCGCGGTGAGAGCGGTGAGAGACCACCCCCTGCGCACCCTCTCTGGTGTCGAGAAAGTGCCACGCCTGCCACGCTCTCCGACCCTGGCACGCATAGACGCCGCGGTGAGAGCGGTGAGAGACCACCCCCTACACACCCCGCTCTGGTGTCGAGAAAGTGCCACGCCTGCCACGCTCTCCGACCCTGGCACGCATAAGGGCCGCGGTGAGACACCACCCCCGTGCGCACCCCGTCTGGTGTCGAGAAAGTGCCACGCTCTCCGACCCTGGGCACGCATAGACGCCGCGGTGAGAGACCACCCCCTGCGCACCCCCCCTGTGTCGAGAAAGTGCCACGCCTGCCACGCTCTCCGACCCTGGCACGCATAGACGCCGCGGTGAGAGACCACCCCTGCGCACCCTCTCTGGTGTCGAGAAAGTGCCACGCCTGCCACGCTCTCCGACCCTGGCACGCATAGACGCCGCGGTGAGAGACCACCCCCTGCGCACCCTCTCTGGTGTCGAGAAAATGCCACGCCTGCCACGCTCTCCGACCCTGGCACGCATAGACGCCGCGGTGAGAGACCACCCCCTGCGCACCCCCCCTGGTGTCGAGAAAATGCCGCGCCCGCCACGCTCTCCGACCCTGGCACGCATAGACGCCGCGGTGAGAACCACCCCCTGCGCACCCTCTCTGGTGTCGAGAAAGTGCCACGCCTGTCACGCTCTCCGACCCTGGCACGCATAGACGCCGCTGTGAGAGACCACCCCATACGCACCCCCCTCTGGTGTCGAGAAAGTGCCACGCCTGCCACGCTCTCCGACCCTGGCACGCATAGACGCCGCGGTGAGAGACCACCCCTGCGCACCCTCTCTGGTGTCGAGAAAGTGCCACATCTGCCACGCTCTCCGACCCTGGCACGCATAGACGCCGCGGTGAGAGACCACCCCCTACGCACCCCCTCTGGTGTCGAGAAAATGCCGCGCCCGCCACGCTCTCCGACCCTGGCTCGCATAGACGCCGCGGTGAGAGACCACCCCTGCGCACTCTCTCTGGTGTCGAGAAAATGCCGCGCCCGCCACGTTCTCCGACCCTGCTGTGAGGAGGAGGGGAGGTGTGAGGTGAGACGCGGGTGCGACGCGGCAGGGAAGAAAACCAGAACCCCACGAAGCATGTGGGGAATCAGGACGGGAGGTTTTTGCCAGTTTTCGGCCTCGGGGGGCCCTCGCCAGGCCTCGGGAGCGTCAAAACACGATTCAGGATGAAGGACCGGTCCCGGGGAAAGGGTCGGGACTTCCAGGGACGCCTTCCTGAAAAAATCAGGACCCTGCAGGTCTGGGAATGGGTACGGAAAGAATTGGTACAATGCCCAACAGCAGTTCCGTTCATTTCGAACAGGACTCGCTGTCCACGCCGCCGTGGCCTGTGTCCATTCGAGACAGAAGGCCGCCTACCCAACAGCGGCCGCTGTTGGTTTGGGACAACATTTGCCGTTGGGCAGTGTACCCATTTTTCCGTACCCATTGCGTGCGTCCAAATCGGAGGGCGAAAATTTGGCAGCGCCCCAGACCTCCTCGGGTCGGGTCAGGAGCAGAAATCACGGCGACAGGTTGTTCGGTAGGTTCGGCCCTTGGGGGCCCTCGTTGGGCCCCGGGGCTGTCAAAAAACGACTCGGGATGGAAAACCCGTCCCGGGGAATGGGTCGAGACCTCTGGGGGCTGACGTCATGAAAAAATCGTGACGTCGGGGGTCTGGGTTCCGAGGACCATCGAGGAGCCTCCGGGATCATGTTGCGACTAAAGAACGGCACGTGGAATGGACGTCCGAGCGGTGGCGAGAAGGTCGAAGAAGCAAGTACGTAAACCCGAGAGGTCCATGCGGAGTTCTTGGATCGGCGCTGGGCCCCCCTGGCGGCGCCTCCAGCGCCGATCCACGAAACCCTCCCGGGCCTCCGAGAAATTCAGCTCTGGGGTCCTGGTGTCGCAATCCAAGACGTGCTCGCGTCGTAAGAGAATCACGGCGTGAGGTTTGGGCCGTTTTTGCGGCCCTTGGGGGACCTCGCCGGGCCCCGGTGCTGTCAGAGAACGGAGCTCTGGGATCCTGCATGGGGTCGCAATCGAAGACATGCTCGCGCTGTAAGAAAATCACGGCGGGAGGTTTGGGCCGTTTTCGGGCCTTTGGGGACCTCGCCGGGCCCCAGGACCGTCAGAGAACGGGACGATACACGGGCTCCAGGGAAGGGATCCGGATCCGGACTTCTGGGGACCCCACGTAGGTGAAGTGCGCCGGACGTCGCATGATGTTTGTGGTCGCCAATGTCTCTAGTCAGGCGTTTTCCCGCACAGTTCCCTCACAGATCGATCCGGCTCGGGAGATGCGACGGACCCTTTGGTCAAGATCCTCACGGTGTTCGGCCAAAACAAACGACACCACCCCACCTACGGCCCTCCATGTTGCGCTACGGCCCATCGAGGGCCATAGCGGATACCACGTAATTCAAAACCACGCCGTATTTCTTGGTATACGCTAAGCCCCGTGGGGCAGCAGGTGGGGTGGTGTTGTTTGTTTTCTTGGTCTAGATTTTGCAATTTGTTCGCGTCGTCGGATCTCAGGGAGCACTGTGCCCACCCGCACCGATCCTGGCCTTCGCTGCCTCGACACGCCCGCTTTTGTCCGCAGCACGTGCCGTGCCCAAGCCGTCCGTGTCAATACGCCGCGCGTTGGCTCAGCGTGTTGGCCCACGCTTTTGCGAACGCATCGCGTCAGACCTGCGTTTGCAGTGTATCGGGGGCGGGAGGAGGAGGCGGAGGAGGAGGAGGAGGAGGAGGAGGAGGAGGAGGAGGAGGAGGAGGCGGAGGAGGCGGAGGAGGAGGAGGCGGAGGAAGCGGAGGAGGAGGAGGAGGAGGAGGAGGAGGAGGAACGTCGATTAGCGAATTGGCCGTTTTCGGTTCGCAAGCGGGCTTCGCGGCCGCCCGTTCTGCGGGTCCAGGTCCGTCGGTCTCGGTCCCAGGCCGTCTCCACGACAGGGCGGTGTACGAAAAGGGAGGTTTGCCCACCGCCGAGTGTACGTGATGAGCTCCGTATCGGTGCGCTGCGTGCTGCGTGTTGCGCATCGGGGCAGCCAGGATCCCGGCCGGGCCGATCCGGGGCTCAGGACTGGTGCGCGTGCTTTCCTGGCCAAGCGTGAAGTCGGGCCTGTCCCTCCACAGGAGGAATATTCAAACATAGGCACAAAAATAGTCTGGGGACTATGTTTTGATTATTCTTAGACGACTTTGGAGTATTTTTGTTGTGTCTGCTTCATTTTTCGTCCAAAATCCGCCTGTAGGGGGGCACGCCCGATCTCTAAGCCAAGCGTTGCGGTCATGGCGCTGAAGTGAAGTCCAGTTCGGGTTCGGGCCACTCTCAAGACGAGAGGCAGGGGCGAGGGAACGCCTCCCAAGAGGGGCTCGGCCGTTCCTCTGACAGGCTTGGTCTGATCTTGACATTGGGGCTTCGATTCTGATCTGGCGTTCCTGCCAGACCCCCGACGCCATGATTGCTTCACAACGTCGACCCCCAGGGATCTCGACCCATCCCCCGGGACCGGCTTTCCATCCCGAGTCCCGGCGTTCCATCCCGAGTCGTTTCTGGACGGCCCCGGGCGTGGCCAAAGACCTCATGGTCGCCTTGGTTCATGACTCGCGAGGGGGTCTCTGGGCTTCTGGCAGCGCCATGCCTGCGGCAGGGCGCGTGTGCAGACTGGTCCTGGACCCGTCATAAGGGTCCCCGCATAGGAGGTCTCCTAGAGACCTCTCCCAGACCTCCCCCCAGCCTGGGGGGAGGCCTTCCGGAGCCCCCCCCC